GTATGGTACAATATGCAAATATATAATTTGCTAACTTAAAACGTGATTTACTTTCAAGATTTTGTGTCAAACCTATAAAGTAATAAACTGGAAAAGATGAGCATGACATAATATAACCAGAAAGATCTTGACAGTCATGATGCAGTAGTCTTTGTACATAAGTAATACTTGCTATCAGCTAATTTGTTGTTCTAGTTTTACTTAAATTCTTTGTGTTTGTAGTTATTTTTCTTAAGTTTGTATCAAGAGAGTTATTTGTTTAATAATCATAAAAATGAAAGAAAAAAGCCTTATAAAGATTATAGCAAACTGAAACATCATTTAGAGAAAATCTCTGTATATGTTAACTAACATATACAGTATACTTTCACTTGGTTAATAGAGAACATAGCCAGGCAAAAAACTTGGCTTCATTAGTGACTGAACACAGTCAGGAACAAAGATTAGCCCAAGTTCTGACAGAATATAGCTAGGTACAAATATTAGCATAGTTTTAACAGAAAATAGTCATGCAAAAAAGATCAATTCCAGTAGTGGATAAACAATGTCAGTTTCGAAGATTAACATTAAAGAGGCCAATATTCACTGGTGATTACAACATGTCTCCATCATGCAATCTCAACATGACCAATTTTGACACCAGAAGAATCAAAAATTGGCTGTATGTTTGGGACCTGTAAGAAGGTATCTCTATACCAAATCCCATGTAATTAGGTTGACATACACATGAAGAGTTTATGAAATCCCCAAACCACACTCTCCTCGCTGAAAAATTAAGCAAAAGACAGAAATTCTCAAATTGTCTATATGTCTGTTTGGGACCTGAAAAGAGTATCTTTGTACCAAATTCATGTAAATTGGTCAAAACAGAGATCAGTACTGGAGCAAAATCCCTAAAATTATGGGCCTATTTAAGCTTTTGATCCCCCAAAATGCCAAAAATTGCCATATTTCCACATTCGTGTATGAATATGTAAGGAACCTGTTAAAAAGTATATTTGTACCAAATTCCAGAATGACTGAAATATGGTGGAGTAATTGTCAAAAAACCTTAAAATTATATTTTTTGTGTCATTTTGACCCACCACTACCACTAATTACTAAAAATGGGAAAGTCCACCATTATGTTTATCAATATGTGGAACCTGTAGAAAAGTACCTTTGTACCAAGTCCCATGTAAATTGGTCAAAAAAAAGTTGAGTAACTGCCCCAAAATTATGCCTTTTTTGTTAGCTCTGACCCCCTAAAAAGACTTGAAATGGGCAACTTTAACATTTTTTGTATGTCAATGTGTTGAATGCATGAAAATTTATATTTATGCCAATTTTCATCTTGATTACTATAAGTATGACTGTACAGGAGCCCAAAATATATATTTTTGGGTTGTTTGACCTTTGATCCCATAAAATCCTTAAAAAGGCCTAAACCAAATAAAATGAAAAAGTTGTCAGGAAATATTGGACAAAAGTATAACCCTATCAAGTTTCATATTAATCTGCCAAGAAACGAAAGAATGGTTGTTGAATGAAAAGTGTTCGGAAGAAGAAGAGTATAGTAAAACAGCATGTCTCTCTTTGGAGACATAATAACTGGTCTACTAAAGCCATAAAGGAGAAAATCAGAGATAAGTACCATAAGGTTTAGAAGTTTAAACTGACAGATAGATTTAAAGATTTACAGGACCATAAAAACCTATGGATTTGGTTAAAAAAGAAATTAGAAAATCCAAAAAAGGGCTTATGAGAAACAACTGGATGATAATGTTAAGACTGTTTTAAGTACATGAAAGTAAGAAAAATGTCGAAATGGGGATTGAATCTTAAAAGGACACTAAGAGCAAGGATTTTGTTAAGGACTACGAGATGGTTGAGCTTTCAAATGTTCTCTTCTGTTTCATTTCTGACCATGAGCATTCAATGAAAAAAACTGATCTGAATTGTGTAGGTATTAATCCTTTGGTGTTAAGTAGAAAGATAGATTAATAATTGACATAGTACCAGTACCAAACAAGGTTTCGAAGGAATTCAAAGATCAGATATACAAGTTTCTCTCTTTCATGTGTTTGGTAGGCACGTGAGTTGGCTAATGTTTTTTCCTTTTTTGAAAAGGGATGATAAGAGATGTCCAGGACATTATAAACCAGTAAGTCTTACTTCTGTACTCGAAAAAATTGTAGATTCTGATGAAATAAACGTTACATGATCATTTTGTAAAACATTATATCATCAAAGAAGGCCAGCATGGACTCACCAAAGGGAAATATTGTTTTACTATCCTTTTTTCCAACACATTACTTGTTTCCAGGATAAAGGAAAGTTGTGATAGTGTACACAGATTTTCAAAAAGTTTTTGATAAGGTGCCGAACAGAAGATTAGTTATGTAAATAACACTGGTTGGGTTGGGAAAAGACTAGATAATGGATTATATGGTTGTTGGACAGGTGAAAGCAAAAGGTTGTTACTAATGAAGTCCAATTAAACTGGACCCTTGTTACTAGTAGAGTACTTCAAGGATCAGTATATTGGCCTTTACTTTTTCTTATTTATGTCAATGATATCGACAGGGCATAGTTAGCAAGTTTGTGTATTTCTAGTTGTATTGGGTTATCATCCTTCGGATCATACATTTAGTACAAACCAGAACCAACTCAACAGCACATCTGAAGAAAAGAATCTTAGCATAATGGTGGATATTTCATTCAAGTCATTGATGTTACGTTCTACAGTTAATACTGAAGCTAAAATAATTTTAATTCATTTATAAACAAAGTGATTGTTAGTCAAAAGAGAATTATTTTTCTATACATATCACTATTAGGCCTAACTTGGAAAACTGTGAACAGTTTGTTTCTTTATATATGAAAGGATATTGACTTATTAGAAAGGGTTTAGAGAAGGGCTAAAAAATGATTCCAGGAATGGATGGTTATCTTGCAACTTATTTTCTCTTGCGAGAAAAGGGTGATCTTGTTATATTTTACAATATTACTTTGGGGATTAAAAGAAAAAGGGCCTCCGATTTGTTTATGCTATATTCTGAAAATAATGAGGCAAGAGAACATAAGTTAAAGATTCAAAAGAGACAAGCTGTGCTCCAGTTAAGCCAATAGATTTTTTGTAACAGAGTGATCGACTTGCAAGTTTTTGTTGTCAGTAGTAGAGGCCAGCCCTTTACAGGACTAAGAGAGGAACTGATGGAAAAGAATAGCCTTAAAGGACCAAGTGGTCCTTTGTTGTCAGTATATTATGTTATGTAATATTTACTAACAACTTATCAAAAGTAAGCTTACTAGATACATCAGAGCTAAAACTAACTTGTAAATCATTGATGCTAATTATTGATAATAAACTTACTATAATTATTTAATGTCATAAACTAACAGAGAACAAAACTAAAACCTATGATAGTTAAAATGCACTGTTAACTTGTTAATGTTAATGGTACAACATCAGAATCTTCCAAAAACAAAAGGTTTTTAGTCAGGCAATTCATGCTAGCAAGAAAAGTGGCTGACTAATTCATATTTTGTTTTAGTTATTACACAGTAGGTAAAATTTTGATAGCAAGATAACAAATTACAGCAGCCCAGCTCACAAAACTTACAATTTTCTACACCTAAAATTTGATTTCATTAAGTTAACAAAAACAATTATATAGATTCTCCAGGATTTATGAATTATTTACAGGAACAACAAGAGAAACAAAGCCTTTTCTATAAAAACATATTGATAAAATGAATGTGAATATGTATCTAGTTACTATCTTATTAATATTAAAAGTTATGTTTTCAGCCAATTTCATCAATTTTATATACCCCATATTGAAATACACAGCGTACAATCCAAATCAGGAAACAATGGTGAAATTTTTTGTTAAGTATAAAAATGGTTAATATACATTCTTGAATATGGTTATGTATTAAAATCAATAAGTACAACATGGCTTGGAACAGTGTGTATACATAGAGAATTACTCTAGCAAAAATATCATCACAAAAACAAAATTACACCCCATAAACCTTAAGATAAATTAATATAGACTTTAATAGTTTCCAATCTATCAAATACATAATTAAGGTACATGTGACTACCAAGGTTTCTATTTTGCTTCTCTTCCAGTAAGGCAATCAATCACACAGTTCAGGCATTTGCCCTCTAGAGGGTGTGAAAAGACACTCTTAACATCAACTGCCAGCATGAAGAAATTATGTAGGATACAACTAATACACTATTATATAGCAATAGGTAATGCACTGTTTAAATTTCAACCTTTCTGAAATGTTGTTAATTTTTTTTTAAAGTCTAAAGTTCAGATGTTACTGCACCCTGCTATAATACTCTGAGTATTAGACACTACATTTTATTCACTATCTTCTACCATAAAATTTTAATGGGAGATTTAATTTTCCTAAATTCATGTATTAAAATTACATACAAGTTACTGCGAGTTGTGCTCATTAATCATAGTTTCTGATCCAATGAACAAAAAAATCAACTCATAATAAACCATTTGACACATAATATTAATTGTCCAATATTTTTCATACAACATTAACCCATAACTTCATCTAATAGCAATCAGCCATAGCACATGTGCATGACATCATTTTTCTACATCTGTCCTATCAGTGGTTTACAGCTTAATTATTACTTCCAAGCATCATTATACCCCATGAATGTACCTCCACTTCAAATATAACCAATTAAAATTTCAGTGCATTAGCTCTGCTACTTCCAAATTAAAGCCAGTGACAATTGTAAAGATGGTACTTAATACCATTTATTCAATAAGTAGTAGAGTATGTAACCCTAAATCATCAAACTTTACAAACATTTTGCAAAAAATATCAAAATAATTTTTAATGAGCTTTTAAAACTGCTCTGATTACCAGTAAAACTAGTACACTTATTATATTTTTGTCAGCTTTCTGCATTACGATGATCAATCACTTTAGAACGTAGTTTAACACCAGGTAGTAGCTGTCTATAATTTACTCACCATTACTTGACTTCAGATCTCGATGAATAAGTGAAATTGGACCCTCGGAATGTAAGTAGTTCATGCCCCGAGCTATCTGTATTGCCCAACCAACTAACACATCTGGAGGAATTGTGCGTCCACTAAGTACACGGTTCAAAGGTCCTCCTCTTGAATATTCCATTACTAAACATAAGTTTGGCTCCTCAAGACATACACCTTTCAATGTGACAATGTTTGGATGATTAAGGAGCCAATATATTTTGGCCTCTTGTCGCACACTTTGTGCTGTAGCACTAATATCTTCATCTGGGTCTTGGCGAGCAGCTTTCACTGCAACCTCTTCCCCTTTCCAAAATCCTCTGTACACTTTCCCAAAACCCCCTACACCAATTACTTCTTCTAGTTCTAATTCAGAAAACTTGATTTCAAATGGTTGCTTAGAATCTTCAACACGCTGTGTCACGAAATTGCTGGGAAAAATCCCAACCTTATCGCCAATTTTGCCTGTCCACCATCCCTCGTCCCCTGAAATTTTGGCATCTTTGGAGAGCACTTCCACCTGTTCTCCCCGACGCAATGACAGTTCGTCCTCACCTGCGGCATCATAGTCGTAGAGGGCTGTCCACAACCGATCTTCATCACGACCATTTTCGTTTCGCAAACCAAACTGATTAGGTTCCATGGACAGGAAAACTGCACTAGGCATCCGTCAAAAAGTTGGGATGATTCCTCCAGAACTTTATATTTGTTGTCTCAAACCGGTGAGGGGTCCTCCTCTCCCAGTCTGTTGTTATAGCCTGGAGGCTACCACTAGGCCTACGAGGGCAACTCATTTACATAGCTGTTGGTGGCTTTGGTATTCTAGAACTGCCTACATAGCTTAGCTTATTTGATAAATTTTCTTGTTTTATACATATCAAAACCATTTTAAGATTCCAATGTTACAAACTCTCTTCCTAATATTAACTTGTTTCATCAGTATGATACGTAGGCCTACCTCCCTATGTCATACCGCAGTGTATCAAACCACCTTTGAAAACCATTCACTCACCACTCAGTAGTTGCAATCTGCTATAAGGATGGTAGGCGGAGCGACCTGTGACGTCACACGTAATATGGCTTCCCTTGTGACGCCCATGTGTTGCGAGATACACACGTAGGTCGTTACGCCACCACTTTGTTCAGGGTCAGTTCTATGTTTGAATTACTAGTAGAAAACCCTTTAGAAGTGTACCTCAAATATACATATTTAAGGCTTTGTTTTAAAGCCTTATTTCAATTTTTATCATTGCAAGCCAGAATACGTAAAATACTTAGCGTGTAACTTATATGTGGATGATAGATATTAAAAAATCACAAATTTATTTTTATTATCAAAGTATTGATGAAAAAAAAAGTTAAAAATCATTATCAGTAATTGTCTTTAAATATAAAATTTTTCAGTTATGCCCCCTAGTGGCACAATAGTATGTCTACGGACTTACAGTGCTAGAAACCGAGTTTCAATACCCGTGGAGCACAGAGAGCCCACTGTGTAGCTTTGTGCTTAATTACAAACAAATAAACCGTTTCAGTTTTTTTGGCGTATTTGATATAAATTTAATTGAAGATGTTCCTTCAATATCAAAAATTGTAAGTGATTTTTTTCCATAAACGCAAAAGATGAGTTATATTATACAACTCATCTTCTGTGTTTACGAAAAAAATGCTCTTATATATATATATTTTCTACCTTTATCCTCCTGGAAAGACAAATAGACTTGTCAAAAACATTACTGTTCTAGTTGGGGATAAAATATAGTTCATAGTGGGAGAATTCAGCCTTTAAAACCCCGAAACCCTATACCTGTACTTAAATATTCTGTTACGTCTCTGGTCGTTGGTTAATTTTCCGTAGAAATTCTTTACCGAAAAACTTCAGCGATACAAGTCCTTTC